GTCCTCTACCAGAGGCCTGGGAGCTTGAGGGTCCTGCACAGTATCTTAGCTGTTCCTAGCACTGCACTCTTCTGGACAGAGATCTCAGATGTTGTTCCTGGGATCTGTTGGAGTCACTCTCCTAGTTTGGGGGTCACACCGTTGTACTGCAATTTGCTGCATTTTATCTGTATTAGTTTCCTACCAACAAATATACTATTTTGCATAATTGTATTTATTTGGTAATCATTTGAATCAGTTAGGTTAACATGCAGTTTTTGTGAAATCAGTCCCCTCATTAAAATGCACATTTTTGCAAATTCCATTGTTGATCTTTTAGAGATGCATAGTGACAACAAATAAAACGGACACTGGATTAGAAATGTTTACATCAGGAAAGGCTGAAGGGTTGGTAAGAGCTGACGGTTATTGCAGTCCCACAGACAAGCAGCACCTTAACCCCATCCTGTTGTACCAAATACAGTAGTGTTAACCACTGAGCTATCCAGCTACTGGATAAGGACACATTTAGAACGTTTTCTGGTTTCAGTTTCTCACATTATTGTCACATAAGGCTGAGAGGCTGCACAGGAATCTAAATCACACTCATAAGATGATTTATTGTGCAGCCCCAATAAATATCTAGCAGAATTTTTTTTTTTGTTTGTTTTTTTTTTGTTTTTAGGTATCTTGCTAGTTTTTCTAGCTGAAAGTATGCTGGAGTTATTCAGCGGAAAAAAACGTACGGAAGATATCAGAATAATAAAGAACAGGATAACAATAGTGTGGATGCTGACTCAGCATCCATACAATTAAAACCTTTTTAGATTCCACTGTTTAAAAGGAGACTGGAAACAAAAAAAGCATTACACTACTTTTAATTGTTTTTGTTCTTACTCATTATTTTTTCCGGGAGGATAAATAAAGTGAAATCAATGTATCCCAATTCTCTGTGGACACTCTGTAAGCACGACGACTATAGGATGGCAGATAATTATCTATTTCAAATGATCGTTTATGCCAATTCAAACAATAATACAGGCTTTGACTTTTTGATAATGAAATTCATTGTAAGAGTAAATATCAGATGAGTTTTCTTGCATAGCATAGAATTAAAAAGTAACTCCTCATTATGTGTAGCTTATAGGTAACCTCAGTGGAACAATGGCGACATTTTGTGCTTTTTATGGAGGTTGCACACAGAACTGGCAAGGCAGACCCGACCATACACTTTTACTGCCTCACGGGGGCGCTACTACCCCCCTCAGTCCAATGAAAGACAAGACGCTCTTTGTCAAGTAATTTCCACTGTGTCTTGAACGGACTGAAGCAAATTCAGTAAAATAACACAATAAGGGCTCAAA